GGTCAGAAGCACAGCTGTCCTGGCACAGCGAGCGCCGCCCCTCCTGTCCAGCACTGACTGAGCTCCTGACAGTGACACTTCACTATGGCCCTCCCAGGGGGCTGCAGAGCCTTCGGGACAAACAGTCCCTCACACCACGTACCCCTATTTTCCCTGACTGAGAAGGCCATACAGAAGGGAAGGAAGGGGGGAAGCGGCTCTGCCAGCCCAAACAAACCAGAGCCCCTTGAGCGCACACCCGACCCCTCAGACACAGCAACCACAGGGCAGTTTGGAGCCCTGCAGCGCCCTGATAGCCCACGGCCCCTCTACTCCCTGGAAACCCCTCCACACCGGCACACAGCATGGCATTTGGTGCGAAACCAGTAGAGACACCCAACCCAACTGTGCCACACACCATCCTCCTGCAGGGAGGGTTTTGGGGCTGTCACTGCCCCCCACAAAGGCCACCCGTAAGAGCCCTACCTTGCTGCCACCCCAGCGCAGGTCTCTGCTCCTCGCCTGCCCATAGATGTCCTTCATGTGCTCCAAGTGCTCATGGCCGGGCAGAGAAGCCCCAGCTTTTATTTCCACTCCATCTTTGGCTCTTCCAATCCTGTTTACCTGCCCCCACAGCAGCTACTCCTCTCTGCCCTGGGCTTGGCTGCTCTTTGTGGGCAGAGTAGGAGCTCTGATGAGCCTTTGGTACCAGCTGAGCCCTGATGAGCCCACAGGCCGCTGGGTCTCCTCACCTGAGGGCCCCTCAGCTTTTTCCTTGAGCACCAATTGCACGGATTCTGCGTCCTGGCAGCCCCTCACAGTGTGGGCAAAGGGTACAGGTTTTTAGGTAGACAGAAGTGGTGTGTCATAATCCCTAGGGCAAATACAGAGGACAACTGCCCATTTTTTAAGTAGAGGTAAAATATTTTTAGAAATTGCTTTCCCGTGCCTCTGCTGGCCCCTTGCACCCCTTCACTGGCGACTCATCATGGCTGCGGTGACCGGGCCCAGGGAGAGCGGGGCAGGCAAGAGGAAACAGTGCCTGGAAATTGCAATACCCTCAGACTGATTCAAGGTGGAGCTTTACTACTCTTAAAAAGAGTTAAGGCTCTGAAATAACTAATGTTTTCATATCTTAATCCACATTTTCATGTTGTTACTTAACAAACTGACATATTTTCCTGTACTTTTAATATATTTGTTTTCATCACCACGTATATTTTGCTTCCCACTCTGCTTTTATGCCTGGTACAGCTGTAGCTTGGTTCTTTGTTGATGTATTTCTACCAATCCTGCAAGGTGTTGTTTATGGCTGGAACAGGGCAATTTCAGGCAGAACTGAACCACTTAGAACAGATAAAATTCTGTTTTGCAGCTGTTTTGTCATGAGGAACCTGCACGTTTGAAGTTTTGTTTTTATGTATTTCTTCAGTCAAAGCTTGAAAAGTCAAAACCTGGGCATACTTGGACTAAGAATCTTTTCCAGTTAAATATGTGGGACATACCTGATAAAAAGTGTCCATTTGAGACTCAGTTGTAACATGGCTGGAGGCTACTAAACCCCTGTAAATACAGCTAACTAACTCAGCCACCAGGTGTTATAGTTGCATCCAGCATTCTCAGAAGGGCACCCCTGTGGTGTCCCACCCCTTCCTGCATTGAGATGAACTCCTATTGCTCTGTGGTGCAGGATAGCTTAAAAAAGATGGGCAGTGGATAGAAAAGATGCATTCTCCTTAGCACACAACAGCAGCCTTGTACTGCTTGTTGTGCTTTAACCCCAGCTGGCAACGCGGCCCCACGCAGGCACTCACTCACTCCCCCACAGTGGGATGGGGGAGAGAAGGTTGAAAGCGAGAAAACTCACATGTTGAGATAAAGCCAGTTTAACAGGTAGTGCAAAAGCTGTGCACACAAAGAAAGGAAAACAAGGGATTCATTCACCACTTCCCATGGGCAGGCAGGTGTTCAGCCATCCCCAGGAAAGCAGGGCCCTATCCCAAGAAACGGTTATTTGGGAAGACAAACATCATCACTCTCAATGTCCCGCCCCCTTCCTCCTTCTTCCCGGGCTTTACACACTGAGCGTGGTGCCACATGGTCTGGGATATCCCTTGGGTCAGCTGGGGTCAGCTGTGCCAGCTGTGTCTCAGCTTCTTGTGCCCCCCGCAGCCTCCTTGCTGGTGGGGTGAGGAGCACAAAAGGCCTTGGCTCAGTGTGGGCTCTGCTCAGCAGAAACTGAAACACCTCTGTGTTATCAACACATTTGTGTTTCCAGCACAAATCCCAAACATATATTGAAAATACATGCTATCCCAGCCAAAACCAGCACAATAATGTAGCTTGTAGTAAAGTATTTAATAAAGTACAGTATCAGAAACAATAGTCTATTAGAAAAGCTCAAAAGGTGAATACCATATATATTGTACTTGTTACATTTTTAGTGATAATTTAGGAGTGAAGGACTTCTGAAGGATCCAGCAGAGATATAAACAACACAGAAACTGATTTTTGTCAGTTTAGAACCAGAGACATGCAGGTGTTGAAGATACCTTTCTCACCAGGAAGAATGCAATAATTAGATTTACTAATTATGGACTGAACACACCAGCAGGGGATGTCCAGTCCTAATGTGCTCGAAGTGTTCCCTGAAAAACAAGGACTGATCTGTAGTGCAGGTTGAAACTTGCGTCACTCGCTTTGATTTTATTTAGCACAAGTCACGGCCCCTTAGAAACGCAGGGTGATTCATCAGGCTGGCTGGGTTCTCACTGTCTAGTTCTCAAAGGTGTGATGTTCATCCAATGAACCAGCAATGAAACCAGTATGTGAAGATTCAAATAACAAGTTTAGTGGGCTTGGGCAGGCTGGGAAGCGAATTTAATTTGAGGAACCATAGCTTGGGCTGCTTGTTTATCCGTCAGAGGCTTCTCTGTTCTCAGCTACTCATCAGGTTGGTCCAATTATCTACGTGTGTACCCCAAGTGATGCACAGCAGCAGGGTAAGGACAGTCCAAGAACATGCATAGTCCGAAATACACTCAAGTCATACCCATTGTTGGGACTTTTTTTTTCTCATATAAGTCACTGATACATTGTTGAAGTTATAGAATTTGCAAAACTGAGAGATTAACAAATATGACACCAGCCTTTTTGTGGACACATACTGTTCATAATCACAGGTCATTAGTTGATGACATCTTCCCATTAGTACTAGACTCAGGAGAGACCAAAGAAACTAACTTCCAATGAAAATTGAAAATATTATTATACTACTCATTATATTGACAGGAGAAGAAAATGTGGGCTCTTTTTTTAAAGTAACCATTTGGGAAGGAAAGTTTGTCCCTTTTTGTTTTTTCAAGTGCAGATCCTTGATCACTGCTATAAAGGTCTACAGTTAGTTACCATTCCCCTGATGTCTTTCAAAAATCCAAATTTGGGAATTAGTCTGCTTTTTCTATGTGATAGTCACATAAGAAAATAAGTCACAAGCTGTTGCAGAACACAATTGAGATCCACAGGGACAAGAAATTTGGATCTTTGGGAACATTACTAAATAACAATAAACAGAGGGTTTGGACAAAAACAAATACACTGATTCAAAACAACAAAAATTCTTTGTCCTAATTATTTTCTCTAGAGTTTCTAAGGGACTGTTCTCTAAAGAGGAAGCTTATATTGACTACATTTTTGGATACAGTTTTTACCTTAAAATAAATCACCATTAATGACTGATACTGCAATTCAGTGATTCATATCAGCGTGTATGAGCAGGCAATGACGTACTTTGTGTCTGCCAGAAACCATTCACTGGCTTATGTGTCATCAGTTTGCAAAGAGTTGTGCTGTTACACCTCACTGCCATCACACTCACTTAATACTGGTTATCAATTGATAATATGTCAATAATCAGTTGATAATTTATGTTTTTCAGGGACTCCAGAGTTTACTTCATTGCTCAAATCTCCCTTAATCTCCAGCTGTGCTGAGAAAATGAGAATGGAAATGACCCAAGGAAGTGTTTTAACATTTACAGAACTTTGTGCTGTGCAGGCAGTGCTCTAAGTCAGTATCTCCATTCATTGCAGGCAGATTCCAAACTCTGCATCAGCTGACATTTTTAACTGTATCAATCTCAGAGACATCATGAAGTGTTTTTTAAAGAATCAGAGAGGGATAACCTCAATTATCAATGAAGAATCTGTAAGTAAAGAGAACAGGGCTTTCCTGGAGTTCATCTACACAAATAACCGCTGCAGGTGATAAGTCTCAGGACTTGTATCTTCTGGAACTCATTTTAAAATCTACCTTTCTAAAAAATTATCCATTCACTTAAAGACAAAAGACCCCATAAGCCATTCTTCCAAAACTGTGTAAGTTCAGGAAGAATAAGGGTGACATTTCTGTTTTCCTTTTTCATTGGGAAGTACCAAATTCTTGGCTAATGAAAACACATATAGGCCAAAAAAAAAAAAAAAAAAAGAGAAGAAAATTTACAGGGTGATACTGCTCCACACAGAGCAGAGGCCAGTGAAGAGACCATAGCCTTGATATCCAGAGACACTGAGATATGATAGATTCTTTAAGTCTTTCTGAAAAGCAAGGCCCATGTTCCTAAAAACATCTCTAGTTGCAAACTTCCCTTTCCATGCAAAATAACTTGAATTGCTTTCCTTTTTTTTTTTTTTTTTTTTCTTTAGAGAAAGTAATGGCTATTTACACTGTCTATCAGGATACTCATATCAGGAATTCAACTAATTATGCATGCACAGTCATCAAATGGTGCACCAAAGAGAATGTTCATACATGCTGAAGAAGAGAACACAGCTCTGTAATATGAAAGGCAATGGTAATGTCAAAGATTTATCAGTTAGCTAAGGACACTACAGTCCAAATTATGGAAAACTACATAAAGAAATAAAAAAGGATCAAAAAAAGAAAAAAAGATATTAGGATTTAAACCCAAAATTTCTGAATATAAAATAATATTAAGATTAATGAAAACTGTAATAGGTAAATTATTTTCAAATATTTTATTTAGAGAACTATGAACTATTTTCTAATAATGCCCTTTACATAGTTGCATCTATAGAAAGCTTGTTGAGAGCAAAAAGATGTAGCATTAAAAGAACTTTCTATCAGAAACAATTGGTTGATCTACAAAAGTAAACCAAACACAAATAATAAATCAAAGAGAGCATTACAGAAATAGTGACCCTATCCAATAGAAATTCACTGTCAGAATTTGGTGTTTGGGGTTGATTTGTGAATGTAGGAAAATACAGGATGCAGAGGGTGAATGGAGCGCTACAGCTCTTCATTTCTGCCTAGAAAGTTGTCAGGACAATGTAAACAGAGCATTTCTAATGATATCCTCAAATTAACAGATCATAAGTCACTGAGCCAGGAGTGGGGGAAACTAGACTAGTTTTCTACATGTCTGGCAGCCACTAAGTTTTTACAGGCTGCCATAGATGCGTTTAATTACATCAGCTTCCTCCTTGTCCAGGATGCCCTTGTCCACATAAGCATCAGCTTGCTGATCAATGAAATCTCTCAGCTTTGAAAGATCATAGTCTGAAAAATAAGAATTCATTTGCACAGTGAGTCATTGTCATTATTTTGCTTCACCTAACAAACAATGTCATTGTAAAGCTTATCCAACAAATGCACTTGATTAAACATGAAGAGAATTCACCCTAAGTGCAGCTTGTGAAAATAATAAATAAACCCAAAACACCTGCACAAAATCTTTTTACACATCATGGTGCTTTTAGTATTCAAGAGGAATAATCATCTCTTGCTCTTGATTGATTGCTGTCAAGTGCTAAAGTAAGAATATTTTCTGGTCCAGAGATTTGATGTTCTAGTCTGCAGAGCAAAACCTGTTGTTAGAACTCTATTATTTTCACATCTGTCACAGAATCAAAAGAAAATATTAAATGGGCTATTTCTTACTGAAATCCCAGTAAAATTCCCACTTACTACAAACACTGTAGTGAAAATTCCAGAAACCAACTTCCTGAAAATAGCTCAAAATGATACAATTATTTACCTTGATACAGAACATAATACTCTGATGGGAAAAATACTGCAGTAAGCAGCCTTTGTGACAGTGCTAGTGTCAGTTTTTGACTGACAAATAGACTCTGCAATAGAGTACTGAAAGATCCTTCCTCCTTTTCCAATGGATGAGTGCATCTATACAGCCAGGTGCACACCATATGTGTTAAATGGACTTTTCCCATGCTGGAAAACATCACTGTTTTCCATGAAAAGAATTCTACTGCAAAGCAATCTTTCAAATAACATAAATGGGTAAGCTATTGTGTGGTTGTAACTCTGACAACAGATTCAGTATATTCACACATAAACACAATAAAGTTTCAGTTAGCTACCTATTTGCTGCATAAAATGTAAAGTCTAATTTGTAAGAACCAGAAGTTATTTTAATAGAATCAGAAGTTAATTTGTTAGAACACGAAGAACATAAATGTTTTAAGGGTTCATACTAAGTTAAATGAATTAGTATCTTTCACAAGAAAGATACATTCTGATTTTTTCATTATAAATTACTTATTCCACAGACAGAGCCTTCAGAATGCATTCATACTGGTTTTGTAATGTAGTCCAAAGTATAACACCATACAGCAATATGTGGAGAACCTTCTTTCCAACTGTACATTCTTAACAAAATAGACAATAATGACTTCCTTTTTTTTTAGGGGTCAGTGATCAAAATTGGATAGAAATAGAAAGACATTAAGAAGCAAATTGATGCCTGCAATCATTTTTACAACAGTATAAGGCAATTTCAAATGAGTGATATAGGAAACTGATATTCAAAATTCCCCACTCCTGCAAAGGTGTCCTTTCCATCTCGGAGTTAACAGGAATTTTGCCATTCCCTGTACTGAGGCCAGGATTTCTTGTCTGGTCTGCTATTTTCATTACTTAACTGAATGTAACCTGCTTGTCTCTCCATCCTGTGTGAGCAATAGGGACAAACAGGACCCAGCCATTTCATAATGAGGTTGTGAGATTTCATTCATGTTGATGGAATGAGGGTCCCCAGTGAAAGATATCAAGGAATGGAAATGAATGGAAAAGCAAACACTAAATTAATATGATATCCACATTATTCACATTAAAATCCCTGAGCTTATTTTACTTCTGGAATACTATTTATAACTCCAAGTCATTATGTGGAAATGTGAATGTTTAATTACTAAACATTCTGTACGGGACTACAACCACTACAATATTATCCAATTCTGGCTAATTTGTTAGATATCTCATGGCAATTTAATTTGATTTTTTTTTCTAGAAATTTATAACCTCTAATTTCCAATACTTATTTACAACCTATTGTAATTAGAAAAATCAGCTTTGGGTTATATTCCCTGCAACAGCTGCAGCATTTCATTGAGCTGTGAAACAGCTACAGTAAATGAAGTGAGGTCTTATTTGCATATTCAAATCAAGCCATTTGCCATTGAAATTGATTACAGAATTGACTTTCATTCCTAAATGGCTACTCTTAATGTTGTGAAACTAAAAACTACCTAAGTATTTGGCAAAAAATCCACATGTATTAGTTAAATGCCTCATTTCTGTGCTTTGGAGTTCAACTGCAATAGAACACCCAGCAGCTACTGGGGGGAGCTGATTTATACTGGGAAGGAGCTCCTCTTGAAAAGCATTTCAATCATCAAGGCAGGCCTGGGAGATAGGAAGGACAGGCCCACAGAGCGTACAGATTGAAAATATGCAAACCAAACTTTGGACAAAAAAGGCCATCAGCCCAAAATCCAGCCCAAAATCCCAGCCCCTAAAGTTTACTCAGCCTCCTTAATAGGAAATTGATATTTTTAAATTGGGGAAATGTAAATTAACATTTCCAGCCTTATTAGTCATTGAACGAATATAATAATTTCTCCTGAAATTCATACAAAGATAAGGATCTACAAACATTTGCCTGAAGAAAATCTAAACCTCTTCACGTATATTCAGTGAGTAAACCAATCCATGAGTTGGGGTGGAAAAGACTGCCATTTTAATACATGAATTACTTTGAGTGTTACTTTTCTGCCAGGTCCCAGGTGGTAGCTGGAAGTGGAGAAATGATTGATGAGCACACCAATACCACGTCATCTTGTACTGAGGAAACACACCGCAATGCATTCATAGTTAGATAAGCTTACCCTGACTGCACTTCTTCTAACATGACCCCAGGGGATCTGAATTAGCATTTTACAAAAATAAGAAGTATGGAAAGGCACAATAAAGATGATGTATCAGAAGAGTAAGAACACTATTCTAATTCTGTCATAACTTACACTCACTTTAAGACTCATTTCCATTGCCAGAGGACAATAAATATATTTTAGTGCAAAATAAAATCCATCTACACAGAAACTTATATCTTAATGCAGTCACAAGCAGATAAAATGCTATTGATCTGCAGTCACAGCCATTTTCAGACTTCAGCAGTGCAGGAGAAAGGTTACTATGAAGGGGAGCGAGGGGCTGCCCAGTCAGTATGTGTGATACAGGGATATAATCACACATGACTGAGGTCTAATTACTGTAATGAATACACTGCTAAACAGAACCATTTATTAGAATTGGCAGGCAAACTCTTGAGCAAATATGTGTGCCTGCTGCTAATTGCATCACTGCATCACTGCCATTGTGAGGAAATGATTTTAGAGATGGAAATTTTTTTCAAAAGTCCTTCCTATTACAGTTTCTGGATAGGAAAACGCCTGTGTTGGGCTGTAGGCAAGCACTCATCTCTGAAATGTAATTCATATACACTTGAACACACAGAGAGGATGGTTAGATTACCCAGGGCTAATCTCATCTCAGATCACCCTCTGCTCGGCTGGTGCAAAGAAGGATCCTCCTCGCCAGGCGCCAGTCGTAGCCTAGGGATGGATCCCTTGGTTAGGAGCCTTCACTTCCAGAGAAGGTGATGGCAGAACACCCAGCCATGGCAGAGAAAAGGGACAGGAGGCTGGTTTTATGTAAGATCTCGAGGGGAGAAGTGGTATGGCTAAATAAAGATCTGTGAAAAATAAGCGAGAAAATCCTGCTGCTGTTCTGTTACCTCCCGCCTCCAGAGCTCACACAGCCCTGCCTCCGGGGAGGAGTCAAATGGTGGGACAGCTGGTGAGCACACCCCGTGCAGCTGCTTCAGTCTCTGCTCCCTCCTGCACAGCTTTGCGTGTGAGCTACAAGTCATTCAAGTTGATTCGGGCTGTAATCCAATGTATTACATTGTGACATAAGTTTGTATCTTAACTATTCCTGGTTATGAAACAAAGCACATTGCTGTTTTATGAAGGCATGCTAGCCAGATGCACTGAGCTCTTCTGGACACATCCAGACGTATAAAATACATTCCTATCACGTACAAAATCATAATTAAAAGGTATGTTGAAATAGGAAAGTGAAGCACTAGACAAACCTGCCACACTGGCAGACCACCAGGTCTCTGTGTTTTGTGGCCAGCAGCCATTCGAGCCAGCTTACATTAATCTGCCTTAGTTTACTATTTTCATTCATTGATTTAACTTTGACATGACCTGTATTATTTAACTTTAACACACTATCACCACAGACAAGCTCAGTTTCATATCACTATTATTTAACTTACAACATAATGCTAAGTCATACACCACAATATAAATTACGTGTTTGGTAATGTATATGGTGCCCACCCCAATGTTAAGGCCTTTCACTTCATACCTTCCTTGTTACCTTGTTTATTGTGTTTTTTCAGCCATTCTATGTTCTTCCTGATTGCTTCCAAATATGCCTCAGATTTCCCTGGAGAAAAGGATGAGAGAGAATTCAGGCACTTACATCAATGATTGATGCAGCTTGCTTAACTGGGTGAAGGTGGTCACAGCAAAGGCAGATTAAAACTATTCTTAGTTTCTGTTTAAAAGCTGAGTCCTGTCAAACTCAGTCAGACAAAATTCCCACAGATGGCTACAAGGTTTTGTCTGTGCAAGATTAGTCACACACAAACTTAGCATTGTGGCTTTTTTTGATCTTTATACATAACTTTTGGTGGTATCCACACAAACTGCCTATGTGGATTAAAGGCAGCCTGTAGCTTTTTGATCATCGTAATTGTTCAGCAAAGATGAAGCTGTTGAGATAGCAAGGAATTAATTAAGACTGAGAGCTTTGAGTATGAAAACTCCTCCATAGAGTAGTTAACAGCACATGGCAAACCTGAGACTGTGGTATTTTGGAAGACAAGTGGAAATATAGTTACTACATTTACTGAGAAAAGGAATGTATTAGCATTCCCATGATAACTCCTTGTTATAGCTGAAATTTTAAAGTGATGGCTATTTTTGGACCAGAAAGCACACAGGACAGAATTAGTTCAAGGATTACCTAATAAGGTCCCTAAGGAAATATTCCAGCTAATGGACTTTGAATTCTTAACTTGACTGGAGCTTTATTGATGTAATGTTCTTACATTTATCAGGAATAAAAACCTATTGTGATTAGCATGTAGAAGATTACTAGTGCCAACTACGCATGTCTGCATTAGTAAGTGGATACAGTATTAGATCATACTTTTTGAGCTGGGAGGGCAGTAACTTTATAATAAGTTACTCTATGAAAGAGCAAAGGGTATTGCATGATGATTACAAAGAACTAAATACTTATCCAAATAAAATTTCTAAAAAAACATTGGGCTGAAGATAAAGGAAAATAACGTGAACCAAACTGGAAAGACAAATCTTCAACAGACAAGGAAAATGTGTTATTTATCACCTCCCACGGGTATTGAGACAACTTTTCTCTCCTGTGAAATCAGACAGCCATCTTGAGAAATTTTCTTCTTCTATGCTCAAATAAATGACCTGCTGGAAAAAATGCCACCTTCCATCTGTGAGTGGCTGCACTGCTCACAGGACTGACCCAGGTGACAGTGCATTACAATCTACTGCAGCCTTGATTTCTGCCATTCATGGCTGAGCAGGCTGCAGTGGACATACAGGCATTCAGCATTGGTGCAAAATAGATTATAAGCAATTTTGTTTAGCCAACTGACTACAAAACATAGATGTTTCTGCTGGACCCTTAGCAATAAGAACTCACTGAAAGGTGTCTGCACTAACAAACATTCTCCTTCAGAAGTTTAGCACAATAAGGTGGCACAATGTTCTCTGCAGGTTTGTTTTGAGATATAGCAGCTGATTTGCACCCAGAAGACTTCAACACAGTCTAATTCAGCACGTGGCATTGTGTGTCATGCTGAGACAACTGGCATAATAACGGCACTACTGTGCTACATTTGCTTAGGGAGACACCAACTTACTGTACCAGGTATCAAAGTTATGTAAAGCAGGTTAATTGCTGATAACCCTTAACCTCTGGCACTGAGTAATGCAAATTCTGTCACTGCAGAACTTTCCAGTACCTTCCAGTACCAGCTTATTCTAACACAAACCATAGAAATCAATGGGCCCACTCAGATTATTGAATATCCTGATCATCTGATTTCACTGAAAAGCCACAGATGCAAAGAAGCAAAATCTCTCTGCACTACTGTGTCAATCTGCACTTCATATTGTTCTCACAAGGGGCCATAAATTCTGTGTAAGATTATGGTCACACTCAGCAAGGGATATAGTGTCATATGTTTAAAACTGGGCAAATAGAACACTTCTGAATCAAGCTGTTGTGTGCTGACTCCCAGTGACTATAAACTGAAGATATTTATGCTAACACAAAGGAAAAACAATAGGAAGATAGGAAAAGACTCCAATCACTAGAGCATAAGTAGTAGGAAAAGCAATGGCTATTCTGTACCTCCGGACTCTTCATTATTTCCTGCTGCATTTTGTCCTTCATTTTTTGTAGAATCCTTGGAAACTTCGTATTCCTTTTCCATTTTAGCTGCTTCTTCCTTTGTACTGTCTGCTTCTTCACTACTCTTGTCTAAAGAAATGACAAGAACAAACAGTGTATCAAATGTACCAAAAGCATTTCTCAATCACATCAACACAATCTTTGGCAAGTAAAACATTTTGACAGATGATTGAGGAAGAGCCTCACTGGAGTCTGTCTCAAAGTGGTTTCTAAAGGTCATCTCTACTCCAGACCTCTGGAAATAGGAATGTCTGTCTCTGCTCTTACAAACAGTAGCTGAATACAGGTGAGTACGATGCAATAATACATAGTTCATAAAGGCACATTTCTTTGTGCAGAGAAAGATTATATGAGATTTACATTCACTATGTCCAAAGTTGACAAATAACATTTTTTTCATTATTATGGAAAGCTTTGGTATATGTGTAACGTATGGACTCCACTGAAGAAAAGGACAGTGAATATACTTCTCAAAGTTTGGACAATTAAGTGAAAATTCCTCTCTGGTTGTGTGTTTAGACAACCAAGTTTGGCTACAGGTCCTTGAGGGATTGTAGCTTTAACCAGCAGTCTGGCTGCTATAGCAATTAGCATAATTTCAACCGAATAGGTTGAAAAAATACATTATTCCAGGAGAGAAAATTGTAGAATAGGTACCTGCTGTTAGTTTTGTTCTGGGTTTAGTTGAAGGGTTCTCAAGCTTCTTCTTTGTCTGCTCAGCTATCATTGTATCTAAGTTTTCTAAAAAGCAAGGCAAAACAAAACCAAACCCCAGTTACTCTTCAGTGGATAAGATGCAGAATCTATACTATATTCTCCCCAGCACCGGTGTATCTACTGGAGTGGAAAGTAGAAATCTGAAATAACAACCTTCACCGTTGCCTCTGAAGGATTAATGCAGAGCCAACAGTAAAAGAACAAACAAATAGCTATATGGAATATTGGTCAATCTTGTTTTAAAAAAATAACAACTGAATCATGACAATAGGTGCACCAAATAGAGCAATATGCATAAAACCAGTAAAAATGTTCATATATATTCTGTATTTCAGTCACGTAAGTCACAAACTACAGATAACTATCTCTAGCAATTTATTCTGATGAAAGCCATGAAAGGCTTTAATTAACTTCACAAAGAATACAAGACTATGAAATATGTGCTTCATCCTGGTGGGAAAACTCTATCCCAAACTGCTTATATGTCTGGATTTTATATGGTTTCATTGGAAAAGAAGTCTAATAAAATGTTTAAAATCATACTTAGATGAAATAAATATGTAAATTGAAGTGATTAAAACAAATATTTTCCCAAAGTTGCTGAAGTCAAGCATTTACCTGAAAACCATCTAGACAGCTGTAGCCATGTATACAGCTCTAGAAGACTAGAAAATGTATTTCTATGAAAATTTCAGGGCTGAACTCATCTAATTTGAAAGTAAAAGCATCTCTTCATAAAGATGGATGTTTCAGATATAAACACTGTATGCTTATGTGGGAAAAAAGTCCTTTTGATACCACAGTAGATACTCAAAATACAGATCATCATAGAATCTGCCATATTTCCTCAGTCATAATATGGATATGGTGTAGAATTTTCCTTCCCTTTATCAGCTTTTTAAAGCTTCAGTTAAACATGGATTCAAAATTTGCTGCATACTGGCTAGTTGGTGGGTATTTTTGAGAGACTTGGTTTTGAAATATCAAAATTCCTTTTGTATGAACAGCTAAAATATTCAGTATGGGATGTGGGAACTGTGGCAGAATAGACATAATAGGGCAAGGAAACATTTTAGGTCATATTTTCTGTGTAAGGCTAACATTTTATCCATCAGCTGGGAGGATCCTTTTTCCTCAGAAAGATACGCAGCACTGATACCTAAAGACTAGTTTTTTAGCCAGCATATTTCTCTTCATGGTAGATCAGCATAAGCAATTGTGCCTGCCATCTGATGAGAAATCACATAGTCCTGTCTGCCTGAGTCCTCTATATTATGTTATTTACATAAAATTAAAATGAAAGCAGTATTTGCTGGCACCCTGCCTGATTGCACCCTCTCAATTCTACATCACATGATGGCTTTTTTGTGACAACTATTTTCATTTTGGTACATATCCTTTTAATGTGATTCCTGACCTTGCCCTATGCCCTAAACAAAACAGGTCTGGGCTGTGTTACAAGCTGGATCAGACATACTGATGAAGAAAAAAACAAGTTAGAATTATAGTGGTGGTATTGATGCCTCCCTAATCACTTGATCCAAAGCTTATTGAAAGGACCATAAACATTCCTTTCAGCTGAGCTTAAGATTCTATTTTTTATCCTGAATCAGTACCATACTAGTATTTCAACAGGAATATAAGGATTTCTCTGTTGCAAGAGGCACAGTTTTCAGGATAAGATTATACAGTTAAGAACTTAAAAACCCTTTGTAAACTCAAGTGAATACATTATTCTCCTCCACTAATTCATGCAAATGCAAAAATGTCATTGATTTTAGAGCTTAATCCAGCAAAATCTATGAAATTAGGCCTAATTTTAAGTCTAAATATAGTATTTTAAAAGAAATAGAAATATTTAAAAGTTTAAAATGTCACACATACATAAGTGCATTGATTCATAAGTGCCTTTCGTGTTCTTTCTTTAAAGTGTCTGCATTTAGGCACTGCTGCAGTCAGTTTCTATCAGCAGAAAACAAAAAAACTTCACCACAAGATAGCTTTATAACCTGCTTTGACGTCTTTAGATTTCAATGTCTGCATACTGATATTTCCAAATTTTTTCTTACGTTTATAAATTGTTTAAAAGTTGTACAAATATCCACATACAGCATGTGCTACTGAAGGCAATAGGATTTATACTCCTCCATTATTTATTCACTTCTATAAATCACATCAGGAGTTCTACAGTTTCTCTGAGTCTTTGATCTGCCTCACAGTTTTATTTGAGTTCACTCTGGCTCCTTTGTCAGTACAGTATTCCTTTCCAGCCACGTGCAGACATGAGGTGTAAAAAGGCAGCGTTGAGCACTAATGATCTGAGCTGTGCCACTAAAGCCAGACTGAACACGCCAACAACTGTGTTCCATTTTCAAAGCTTTATTTTTGTCAGTAAAGATATGGAGAAGTTGACAGTAGTCCTTTTACCAAGGACTACACTTAGCAGGAGAAATGGCAAAGCTGCCTTGCTGGCCGGGTGGCACATCAACATGGATCTGCAGATTTATAAGCAGTCATATTTCCTCTGTGACAGAGAGGAGTTAAGTCTGTGGGCCTGTCCATGTTTGTGGGGATTGTTTGGTACCTACATAAATATCCTAGAGAGGATATTACCAGAGAATCCCCGTTCTTCCTGAATAGGATTTATTGCCCTTCTCCCGCTTCAGAATTAATGCTTTAACAGCTGGTATTGTTTCAAAACATGTTTGTACTTGTCATGTGTGGCTAGGCCAGGGCTGAACAATGTTTGCTCTGAGATACAATGATGGAGTGAGTCATCTCCTCAACTGAGATGTGCCTGGCCAGCAGCTAAGCAACTGCATGTCGTGTTTGGAGGTCTAACAAGAATTGATTACTTCTCCGGTGTCGTTTCCCTAGCAATGTCATTTGCACAGAGGAAGAGTTTAGAAAGGTACTGACCTTTCCACAGAGATGGCCACTTATTTGAAATGGCACTAATTAAAACAACAAGAAAATAACCACTGAGCTAATGGAAGTGACCTACGTGGGTAAATAGGTCACTACTCTGGCGGCCGCTTTCCCGGAGCAGGATAATCTCATCATTGGAACCAGACACCCGGAGTCAGGAGATCTGGTTTCTGCCTTGCCTCACTTTCTAACTCGCTCTTTGATCTGGGATGACTCACTAAAGCACTCCTGCTGCAGGAGGGCTCCTATTTTGAGTAGACATTCTGAGGCATTCTAGGCCCAGTTTCTACACACTGATAGATCCTCTTAATTGTACCTGAAAGCAGCAAATTCCCAGTACTTTTGAAACTCTGAGGCCCTTCAAGATGGATATCCAAAAATCCAAACTGCATAAAAGCACAATGTTTATTTCTGGTAGAATGCACTGTGGCAATACCCTTTAAATCCATGGGAAAAGATACTACCTGAAAAAATACTACAATTTAAATTACTTTGTTCTTATTAGAGAGGCAGAAACTAACATAACCATTTGAGTATTTAATGGAATTGGTAATGGAAGCCTGAAATGGACCCTTCTCTATTGATAGATTCATGGTGTTTTCCAGACTCTTGTAAATTTTCCTGCAAAGGTTTTTTTCTTCTGCATAATTGTCTTGTACCCAGGAGGCAGTTTCACATTCTGTCCTCATCAAATTGACTGAAGCTGAGATTTTATGTCATTAAACTTCCACAGAAAGGCCTGCTTTGCTGTTCTGTTTCCATACAGCATAAAAAGACTGTTTATTAAAGCAGAAAAGGGATCATCAAAGTACCTGAGATCAATCTTAACAATAGCTAAAAAATTAGTTTACTTAATGAGTTCATACACTACAACTGCTTCAGCTGCAAAGCTTTGTGCTGACGACTGCTTGTGTGAGATGCACATATTGCAGGCATTAAAAAAGCACAGTCCTCCCAGGGCTCTTCTGTCTCCTGCAGTAGATGATCCTGAAGAGTTTGCAAGGCCTTTTTCCATCTGTGAAAAATGGCAGGACAACACAGCATTTGCTTGTGACTGTTCTGTGGGAAGAGCGTATCTGATTAGTTCTTTGGACAAATCTGCCTTTTACTTTACATGAGTGCAGGTCCAAGAACTGTCGATATCCACTGGATTTTCACCAGTGTAGCCAAAAGCAGAGCTGGACTTTTAGTTAGCTCATATACGTACCATGCACATGTCACATAAACTGCTAAAACTGTGATGAACAGGAGAAATCCCTCCATTGTGGAAATACAGATGGGTCTGAGCCTTGCAAACCTCCTGCTCATCTCTAACTCACTGCCTTACATGTCAAGATATGGCATTTCCTTTCTGAATCTTCCTGTTTGACTGATTTGTTGTGATGGTGTGTCTGAAATCTAATGGTGCCATGAGGAGTGACGTGTCAGGTGACAAACTCCAGGTCATGGCATTACTTGGAAATGGATTACAGGCAGGATGGTCAGAGCGACTTGAAATTAAAACAGCAGCAGTATCACTTGGCAATCAGGTTAAAAGCAACTCCAAAAGCAAAACATAATTAAATAGATGTGTTTTGAGGTAAAGCAAGCTCTGACCAAGTCTCCTTTATTATCCTTATTAAATTCCCTACCTCGTGGGCTATTTCTCAGATTTATCCTTTCAATATTCTACAGGTGCTTCCTTTGCATTATTCCAGGTTTCCTAGAGCTGTGTGGTGCAGTTCTTTCCTAATCCTTTCCCATCCTGAAGCTGCTACATGGCCTGTGCACACATTTTACATGTTTTGATTGCATGCCCTTTATGAGCATGATGGTTTGGGACTGAAGCAGCACTGAGCTGCCTCTCCTGCAGGAGTGGGATGTAGCTCAGTTTTGAAAGTTCAGTGACACCCTCTTTACCCTGCACCCACATAATCATCTCAAATCAGAACTTCTGGGCTCAGCGCTCAGCTGTCAACAGAGACACACTGAATTCAGAAAGTAGGGGATTTTATGCAGCTATTAAATACAGTGCAAAAAAATAAAAGCATTGCCCTCCCTTAGAAACACAAACCACCTGGTAGGATGCAAAACACAGATTTTCAGGAACTAAGCAA